TGAACCTGTGGCCCGCCACTTTTTCAGAAGCCTGTTTACACACGACTTTGTGGGAACTGGCGAGTCAGGATATTTCTGACGAAACCTACGTGCGAATTTTCTGTAAATGTTTTTCCTTGCAATAGTTTCGACAATAAACACACGCTGTTTAATAGTGAACTTCATTTCCACCGTCTGTCGACAGCTGTAAACATTCCACTCCACTTCCACAGCAAGACAAAGACTGACTGTTTAATGCAACCTCGGGTTCCGATTATGCAACCATCGGCGTAGGAGCACTGCAGTCGCGGGGAGGAGTTGCATCCGTTCTGCGGTGGTATGACTCACGGCAAATTGCAGCCGCGGCGCGCACTTGATTGTACGCACTGTATAAACTATATATAAACTATAAAACTTGCTTCAAGAATTCCATTTCTTGGTTCCACAAAATGAAGAACTGCAGCAGTAGCACAAGGGACACACTGCTGAAACCGTCCTGAGCACAAAAACAACTAGTTCTTCCTCCCATGAAATAATTATTACTGGTTTAATGGTATATCATATAATTATACGCAAAATTTTATATTTTATTGCCAAGAAATTAAAATAATGCTATATTATATGGAATATATGCTGCCAAAATTGTCACAGGCATGTACAGATTAGCTGACTGGATGCCACAACCGCCTGTCCAGGGACTCCTTTTCTGGAGACAGATGGAACAAGATTCTGAAGCTGCCTGTTCACCTCCATCTCATACCACGCTTCAGAGCTTTTAGAGTATGAGCTCACAATCCTAGATAAGCCTCAGAATTCAGCCCACTTCCTGTACAGCTCCTCATAGTCACAAAAGCACTATTTTGACCAAGACATAAGAACATTATTAGGCTTTTAAATAATTTAATTCCAATGACTAATCAGAATTCAGAAGGTTGGCTGAACAAACCATAATTTTTCTAGGAGGCAGATAAATTAGCAAAGTCTGGATAATATTTACTTCTTACACGAGTGTGGTGAGGGGGCACGTGGTAGCGTAGTGGTTGAGGGGCTATGCTACAAGCTGGAAGGTTGCAGGTTCAAATCCCTAATCCTTCCAGCTGCACTAGGCCCTGGGGTTTACTCAGCCTCTAACAGAAATGAGTACCAGGAATTAATTAAATAATTTTCCTGGGGAGCAAAGCGCGGCTGGCGCGTAAGGCTCACAACCCTATGGGCCTTCACGGTCTGGTACAGGGATTGTAAGTAATCAGGCCAAAATTACATGAAAGTATTGTTTAAGATCCCTTTTAATGGAAGTATAGAATCCACACCTTTAAGTACAGTGGAAGTTTCTGCTCAAAATGGCCTTTATTAAACCTGTTTTCTTTTTAATCAAGAGTGTTCCGGGAATGTGACATTCTGTGGTCTTGCAGGTGGATACTGGCCACGTGGAGGAACTTGCTGCCTGCGCCTTCAGAATTGAAATGCGTAGGGTGAGGAATTGGTTGGGTTACTCATGCAGGCTGCAAGGAACGTGGCCACTCAGACCCATGTGAAGGAATGTGGAAATGTGCCCCAGGCTGCGGCTGTGACAGAAAACACTGGTATACTGAAAAGGGCCATTTTCATGCCTAGACATTTGAGCTGGCCCTGACTCATTTCCTTACTGCCTCCCTTGGGTGTCAATGGCCACGTCCTTGCAGCCTGCCAATATAACTGAATAAATTCTTCACATTTTACACTTCAACCCTAAACATCCCAACCCAACATCCTCCTCTGGATGTGCCCATAGACCAGAAGTTATTACAACCCACAAGACACAACCTAAACAACTACTGCCATAAAAACCCCAAAAACTAAACCTTAAGGTTAACGTACCCACTTATATTTTACCTTTCCACGCTGTAGAATGTGCAATGAACAAAATTTACACTCCAATTTGGGGCCTATAGGCACAATGGATGCACAGGTGCAAACTTATAAGGTCAGAATTATAATTGGAATCAGAATCTTAATAGTATGCATCCTGTTGTGTTAAAAACAAGGTACATAAAATGCATACAAAAGTATGCAGTCTACACAACAATATTCTGTATTTAAAACAAAGTAGACACTATTGTATCAACATTTGTTTTTATTGATGCTACGTGTTTTGACCCTCATACTGGGTCATCATCAGACATACAATGATACCAGTCTCACTTGTTGAATTGCATCTAATACTTCAATAAGGATCCTTTTTGTGCTCTTGAGTGTTTTTAAATGCATAAATTGAATCTTTCAGTTAAAATTTTAAAATACTTAGATAATAAAATTTAAAACATTAAAAACTAAAGATTAGAATATAAAAACTAAAATTGTACTAAAATGGAAATGAAATATTTTGTGATGGATCTCTTTAAAACTTTGTGGCCACTACATGTCGACATGATTTTCTGGTGGTAGAAGCTACTATAATGTTGGGCACCTGCATATCAGGTGTTTCCTGATCGTAGTGGTGCACCTCTGAGGATGATTTTTTTGAATCTAAACATGTAAGGTGAATGAAGACTGAAGTGCTGTAAACTTGTATGTCACACTGGACTGAAAATTATCCACTTTGTAATTAACAGTGTGATGGACCAGAATGAGACAAATCAAATAAATTAAATTTGTTTGCATTGGAGGTACAATGAAACAAGAAATAATATTTCAGTACTAGTCTAACCAACTGAAGATAAAGTAATCCCAATAATGTACAAAAATTATCATCTCTTACAAAGTAGGTACTTTGTCTGCATTACAAAGACCAAACAGTTGATTCTGTTTAGGAAAATAATAAGTCTTTATTCTAAGAATCATACAAAGTACACTTTGTAGGGGAAAGAGCCGATTTTTAATGTTTAAAGATGTTGCTACATGTCATAACCACTGAGCCTTGAAGAGTTAAATGGTTTTAACAAAGCCGATATTTTAATGCTCAAAGCTGCGGTACCTATAGTCACTGCACCCTTTTATATCATGGTCTTAGCTATTAATGGCAGACGGAAGGCAATGATTAATTTGTAAAGTACACCCCTTTAGAGATCTGGTGAGATTTGTATTAAGTAAATGGAGGTTATGTTTATGTCTGAATTCTTTTTAAACTTTCTACGTTTTCTACAGCGAATAACAGGGATGGGTAAGAATCTGTGTAAGTTGAAGATTTTCTTTAAAACGTAATTAGTAACAACTGACGAAAAAATGTATTCACCAACGATGATAAGTCATTAACTCAACGTATCCGCCGAACCTTCCGATGGTATAGCATGACGTAAACATTTCAAGTAGATAACAAAAACAAATAGCTCATGTCAAAACACCTAAATTATAACTGACGTAAGTTATTGTTAATTTATAAGTATTACCTTGTCTCGACACTTTCATACTAACTTCGAAGGCACAAAATACACATGCATAACGGAATAACTTCCTTTACAACTTCTACACATTTATAACCTATTATTTAAAGAGCTAAATTTGACTTTTACACATTACGCGGGATGCCATGCTTACTTGCGATTATCACTTGTTTTGGACCTTGTATCTCCTTCCGGTTCAAAACTGACATTTTACGTCATTATTGCTATTGTATAGATCATTCGTTCAATTAGACTTAATGAGGTTCATTAATCAAGTTTTATTCATCCATTCATTTAGATCGTATGATACAACTATGCTTTTTAGTGGATTACTAAAATGATAAGTACTGTAGTCTAGGATGCAACGCTATATAGTCAGAAGTTCGCAGTTTCGAAGGAATATATTCCTCCATCTTCAGGGACGAGGTACAAACAAAGCAAGTAGCCAGCAAAGCTGCTGGATATTACATTGGTTTACACATCGACACTGAATATGTTCCTCCGAAACATCAGTGAATTTCTACCAGACTACACTGAGTTGTATTGAAAGGAACTGGCACTTTTCACAATCACTGCTGTAAGACCCTCACATCCATCATATTGACCAAATTGTTCACTTCGCATTAGACATTTAGAAAGACTTCTACCATCTTCAGGTATGCTTATTTAAATATAAGTTATTCAAAATTACTGGGGTTTTGGACTTTTTCCATCGTCCGCAATTTTAGGTTATAGAGGTCATGACATTTCGGAAACTGGATCTGTTTCCGTCTTCAGGTGAGAAAGGAAGACACCTACTCAGTTGGGCCTCTTAGAAAGAGCTAATCTCAATCACTGGACTAGTGACTGTCACACAGAATTATTGGGTTACTGGATCTTTTCATGGGTCCAGGTCCAGTGATTGAGATTAGCTCTTTCTAAGGGGCCCAACTTAGTAGGTGTTTTCCTTTCTCACCTGAAGACGCAAACAGATCCAGTTTCCGAAACGTCGGGTCCTCTATTACCTAAAATTCCGGATGATGGAAAAAGTCCAGAACCCCCAAAACCCCAGTAATTCTGCATGTTGTCCACCTATGTCAGAGCCCTTTAGAATCTAATTAATAAACGCTATTATTCTGACATTGTGTGATTATATGATTAATCAATTAATGAAATTTTGGTAGTTATACTCAATTATTAAACACCACTTAAGATGGCAGAACTCTACTGAGACATCCTGGATGACATGAATATTTCACTAAATAGATTAATTTAAAATTACCTTTACCTTTATAAAGTTAGCCTGAATTGAAAATACTGTGTAAATGCAATTTTAAAAAATGGGAAGAACTAATTCCCTGCTTTCCTGTCATACAAACACAGGCTGCATAGGAAAAAAATTTTGGGGGACACAGAAACGCAGATAGCCCATTGCCTACCAATGACATAGGGGAGGGGGGCCAGACACACACATTAGCAAGGTGATGTCAATAAACCTAAAATATTATGGGGATACATAGGCAGAGAACAAGGCAATCTTATAAGCCGTTTACTTTTATTTTAATAAGGAAAGTACACTAAAATAAAAAAAAAATTATTTGAACCAGAAGTAACTTCAATACCAACTTCTGTTGATGGTTAGGCAGCACATTAGTTGAACAGAGTGGGTTTGCTGTTAACCAATTCCATGAAGCTGAGTTGTCCTTGAGAGACCACAAGCTCCTTAGCTACTCAAGAATTTCCCAATATTTTATTGAACCCAAAGGTTTATTACCATGTTCACAAGAGCCCTCCGCTGGTCTCTATCCTAAGCCAGATTAATCCAGTCCACACCACCTCATCCTATGGGTGTGTCTGTAAGATCCATTTTAATATTAATCTCCCACTTATGTCTAGGTCTTCCTGGTGGTCTCTTTGCGTCTGGCTCTCCCATCAGAATCCTACATGCATTCCTCTTCTCCCTTGTGCATGCTATATGACCTGCCCATATAATCCTTGATTTCATCATTCTAATTATACTTGGCGAAGAGTAAAAGTTATGAAGCTCCTCATTATGCAGTTTTCTCGAACCTCCCGTCACTTCATCTCTCTTCGGTCCACATATTCTCCTCAATACCCTGTTCTCAAACACCCTCAGTCTATGTTCCTTCTGCAATGTCACAGACCAAGTTTCACACCCATAAACAACTTAAGCTAAGGAAACTGGATATAAGGTTTGGTACATGGCAAAAATTAAGTTTACTTTCTGATATTAACCCTATGGAAACTGATGCAACATGGTGTATCAGCCTACCACCTTTTACTAACAGGGACTCACAAGTCTCACACTCTCCTGTTTTGCAGCAACTTATGCAACTTATCATTTAAATAACAATGGATGTTTGTAGCTGTTGTTTTCTTCATATGCACTATTTCTTAAAACACTAGCTTTAGAGGTTCTGTATCATTTGGAGTGAGAAATCATTGCAATTTTGATATTCACTGCCCATGGAGTTTAAACCTGTTAACACAAACATTTTACTGCTGTCAAATCCACTGACTTCCTTCATTTCAGATTATTTTTTTCTGCTTAAAATTCTTCCATTACAAAGAAGTTACATTCAGAGGTTATTAAGGGGAGCAGACAGAGATTCAATGATACCTTAACCCTGACTTTCATTGCAAGATAAGGACAATAAGCCAAGAATAAACTCTGACCTGACTCAACTGAATTTTTTTTTTGGCATTTGGCAATAAAAATTGCAAGAAGTTCTTGGAAATACTGATCACCTACTTTCCTTTTAGTAAAAATTGAATATTTGATACAAGTGGGGCAAAACTTTGTTATGTATGCATAATAAATCAATAAAACAACATAAACTCAATTTTTATGGAATCTGAATTGCGCACATATTAAAACAATCTGAAGTGGTAAATTTGTTGTCAGAGAGTTGTCAATGACAACGAGGGCATAATGTGGTATGATATACATATCAAGATTAATGATGATCAGTCCAGGTATTCAAGGAATAAACCTCAACAGTTTTTTTTGGGGGGGGGTTAATGTTAGTACTAGTGAAGGGATAGATTTATGAAGTATGTCATTCTGATAGGCTCAGGTGGCATGATACATATACCAATTTTCATAAAGATTGCTGCAGGCATTCAAGCAATTTCAAGGCTGTAATATCAGTATTACTGATGGGAGAGCTTTATTTAGTATGCTGGAGACAAGAGCCACAATGTACCAAGTTTCATAAAGGCTGGTTCAGGCATTCACAAGTTGTTAGAAAGGGATGCGCATACAGACACACAGACAGCAAGGTGTTCTCACAAGCCTACTTTCATTTTCTTCAAAATAAGGAAAGTAGGCTAAAAGCATTCATTAGACTCTGTAAGTTTTACAGCTATCAGTCATGCTCAGATGTACTTACAACGTTTCATTATATATATGTCATGTCATGTTACTATGGACCAGCACTTATTAAGCAATACGATGTCCCCAGTTTTCAGGCTTTTATTTTGTAATTTCCTAAAAAATCACAAAACTCTTGTACTTCAAATATATGTCATCACAGTAAACATGAGGATCAATATTAAGTAGCACCAGTGTTACTTCCAAATCAAACACTGCACAATGGCCATTTGATACTGTTGATGTAATTATGGTGTTTCAGAACACGGTGACCTTATAAGGCACAACTTTTGTATCAGAACTGTTCGACTACACTATCCGCTGAGGAAACTGTGTTTCTTTTTAAACAATGTGACACCAGGGTTCTTGGATCTACCACAGCAGTGTGACACATCGAAGAAACTAAGGGTAACGTGATGTCCATCACTGAATTGGGAGGTGGATGGGGACCCCAAAGAAATTCTTCTTCAGAAGCCTAAAAACTGTGCTGTGTAGCTCTATGATATTGAATGTCCAAATCAGAGTATCTGGAAAGTATACAACATCCTAAGGAAAAAGTCAATACATATGAATTATGCAGATCAGATATTATGTACCATTTTCACAATTATACTACATATTTTGAACGTTTACACAACATACAGAATCATTCTTATAGAGATCTTCTTATATTTAGTAATGACAAAGAACCAAACAATTATAAGAACAAGATCTGTGAACAAAATGACAGATCAAGAACACATCAAAGTTTTCAACATAGTATTATGTCAATCTCAGCCATGCCAAAGCTCTGGTAGTTGAATGCTGGCTTCTAACTGTAGATAAGGCTCAATCCTGAGAGATTGCAGTCTGAGTGCCACAGGCAGGCTTTCCTCTCAGTTTCTTTTGGTTTTCCCCTGTGAATCACACTGCCACCATTACTCCATATTCATTTCTCACCATCCACTCATGTGTCCAATAGCTCTTGATCAAGCAGCATATTATCACATACTCAGTCATTAAGTTAGGCAGCTACATCAGCCCTTGGCTATTTATTGAATAACATCATCTTTGAAAGTGCCCATAATGTAAACATGACCATGAGGGTTCTAAAGGGTTCTCATGATAGTGTATAACTCTCAGAATTACTGGGTTTTCAAACTTTGCCCATTGCCCAGTATTCTAAAAACTAGAGAACACAACGTTTTGAAAAATGGATCTGTTTCCATCCTCAGGTGAGGAGGGAGACACCTACTCTGTTGGGTCCCTTAGACACAGATATTTCTAAGGACCCAACAGTGTAAATGCCTCATCCCTCAGTTTCTGAAACGTTGTGCTTTTTAGTTTTTAGAATACCAAACGATGAGACAAAGTCCAAAAACCCAGTAATTCAGTATGTCTTGATGTTCTCCTTTCATCACAGACTGGGTGCTGGCCTTCTCTTTAAATTGTTTCTTGGCTACCTTTTTATCAGCATCCGCTATCCACAATCTTTGTCATCCCCCCTAAACTGGGAATCAACTAAACTGAACTCCATAGTCACATTTTATTACAGTAGTGGATGGAAAAGATCACAGATTATATAGTGATGCAGTATTAGCTGCAGTGTTTATTTAGCAGTAAACAATATCAGAGGATGAATACATCTGGTGAAGTTGCAAAGAAAATTGAGGAGGAAGATATAGTGACCTATTTGAAGGCAGTAACTGGCATGGCTGAGGACAATGGAAAACCTCCAGAACCTTCATCCAAGATTCAAGCAGGGTGCGTACTGAATATAAGTTAGTGTTACTGGTTGAACCAAAGGGAAGAATCTAGACTGGTTAAGGGGCAGACATTAAGAACAAAGGAAAACTATTTATATATTTCAACATTACTAAAATACAGTGAACCATCCAAACCACAAAATTTGGGATAGCTAAATTTTTGGATCTCGTTTGCTTGTACATAAAGGGTTCACACTGAAAATATTTTACACAATATCTCAAAGGAACCTAAAACAATTTTCATGTTTGCGAATTTCTGTTACAGATAGATTTGTGGTGTGGAAGTTCTCCCATGTTTCCAAGAAATAAATTAAATCTCTAAAATAATACAGATTATTTTAGTAACTCCTCTTCTTGGTAAACTTCACTGTCAGGGAAGGCTAAAATTTCTTTTTGGTGGTGTTTTCCAAATGTCCCTCATAAGTCTGCAAAGTAAAAACATGTCAATTTCAGTGATATAACACAGGAAACGTAAATATCATACTAAAAGCAATAATCTGTATCAGTGTAAAGTATAGTGTTCTTCATGTGTAATACAGTACAAGATTAAGGTTCAATTATCAATGATTCACTATCAGAAAACAAATCTTTTTAAAGCCATTAAGTAATGGAAGATGATGCCAGAAACTAATTCACGTTACAAACTGTGACTAATTCCCTCTTCTACCTCTTGTCCAGTTCCTAAACATTTACATTATGTAAAGACACTACACAGGTTACACAAGACTCAAATTATGGAAATTTGACCTTACACAAATACTTCCATACTGCACCAATAAAATTCTCAAGATATGGTAAATTCTGTGTTATATACAGAAACATGAGTGAAATTAAATGTTGTTGCTGTAAATCTTAGTTTTCTATGCGTACAATGATTATTTATTCCACACTTTAATTTTTTCTCCAAAGCACAAACACGTACATATTGTGATGTGATGGCTAACAGTCTAAATAGTGGGAAAAGAGGTGACCACTGCTAGGCAACGGGGCGGTAAACACATTTCCACAGCAGCAAACCAATATGCAATAGAGAAAATGTTGGAAGTGGTGTTTTTGTGTGGTCCATAATGAGGTTATGCAGTGACGACCAACAGGAAAAGTTCATGAGTCAGAGGTTAGAAGTCATGAGTTACAGGCAAGCAGTGGCAGTTCATGGCTGGCTGTGTGGAGTCCCCATTATTAGCAGCCACTACCTAGCAACTTCTAATGATGACAGATGATGCTCTCTGTGCAATGTAGTCATAGCGATTTATAGTTTGTGTAAATCTGTGAGATTGTTATAATAATTTGTAGTTGTGACTTACAATCATTTGTGTGCACATGTGCGTGTGTGTGTATATTGGTAATGATTTCAATTATGCCAAAAAATTTGAGTTATGCAAGACTTTCCAATAGGGAATGACTGCATAAGTCAGGGAAGCTTCTGTATGTGTAAAATTAATACACAGCAACCATGTAAAAAGGACAAAGAGTGAGAATCCCTTACAGAAAGAGGCTAGCTGAAAGGTGAAAGAAAGAAAATATTACAATGGATCTTTGATGGATCTTGTGTTTGACTCTGGACAGGAATAAATAGCAGGCTTTTGGCATGTCATGGATTGCTCTGAACCAGGGAGATTGCTGGGTGACATTTAATACTTGCTGTATTAAGTGTATGAGGAAGCTTCGTACTCTTTGCTTAAAACATGTCTGAGGATTTGTCATACCTTGACTAGCCAACTCCATGGAAGAAGAGTCACATGTTCAATGTACGAAGGATATCCGGAAAGTAAAGCTACAAAGTCCAGAAAATATTTGTAAAGCATATTTTTTAGGGGGGGGGTTCACTTGTAGCACTTTTACAACACATCTTTATTTACTCTTCAACATAGTCACCATGGATCGCAATGAACTTAATGAGCCTGGGAACGAGTTTTTTTTTTATTCCAGTGCTGTAGAAATCTGCCACCTGTTCTCTTAGACATGGAGAACAGTTCTTGACACTCCTGGATATTGATCAATGGTTAAATGTCTGTCAGCATGCATGTTTTCATCAATTTTTTGAATGATTTCATCAGTGACAATGGATGATGGCCATCCACTCCTTATTTCATCATGAACATCACTTCTTCTCACTTCAAATTCACGACACCATTTTGCCAAGTTTTGCCCATTCATAACATATTCACCATAAAGAGAAACATGATGGCAATGAAATCGAATTACTGCATGAAACTCACACTTGGCAGGATTTTGAATTGACATGACCATTTTAAACATACACTGCGAGCACAACGTTGCCGTGACTGTGGCCAGTGAACTCAGCCGTGTCATACGGTTCCTATCTCACATGGCAGCACTGCCATTCNGGGGGGGGGGCACTACATTTTTTTACTGCACTTCTATTTACTTTCCAGATATCCCTTGTATGCTGTATATACAGTCTAGTAAATTTCTAGTGACAACATAATGATCTATGTCACTAGCTGATGATGCACCCTCAAAGATGTTTTAGACACAGCTCATGGCGAAGCTGAAATCACTCTAAGACTTTACAGTGACATCTGTACTTACAGTTTGAGCCACTCTGAACAGTGACTCAGCCATGGCATGTCCAGTTTGCTCCACCATCCAAGAAAGGACACTATTTTTATTTTTAAGCAAGATATATGGCTGGTCAAATTCCTGAAAATTTGTAAAATACAATCACACAAAGGTACTTCTATTTAAAACAGACTTTAATTTGTATGAAATTCACTGTAATTGTTTCAGTTAAATGTGCACAAAACTGCATAATTCAATGACATATGAAAGTAATTTATGGCCATTTAATGGTTCTGCAGAGGAGTGAGGTGCACTTTGAAATATGAAATACAACTCACCACAACATGCCCAGCGTCCATGACAAGGATACGATTGCTGTCCATTACCGTGTGCAGACGATGGGCAACTGTTAACACTGTACAGTCCGCAAACTTACGACGAATTGTTGCCTGAATTAGTTCATCGGTCCTAAATTCAGAAAGGCATAGTGTTACAGCTTCCAACCCAAAATATATATCGTAATTTCAACTTCTATAAAAGAAAGTAATTTATGAAGATGAAAAAGTGTCACATGAGCCACTCTTACTTTAAACATGACTGTAGAGGACTGGGATAATTTCTGAGAAAGCCAAACAGTAGCAGTATGAGTAATTCAGTAAGAACAATTTAAACATATTTAAAAAAAAAATATATGCTGAAACTACTACATCAAAAGATCTATGAAATAATGCCCAGCATAATACAGGAAGTCTGAAAGCATTCACACTGCCAGCATATTTAGTATTCTGGCATATCATAAAGCTACTTAAATTCAACTACCAGAGTATTCATATCCAGGTATGGTTACTACCCTACAAATGCTACTGGATGCAGTTTCTTGTCATAGGGTGACTGAAGAACAGTCTTTCGTGTTATAACCAGTATAATTTGGAATAAGTCCACTGATGTCTCTCTGGAACATCGATGGACTTCTACCAAATTACACACCATTACAACACAGATGATCTCATTGTAAGAACACTTTATTGATAAACTGGAGGCAGCAACAAGCATCCATACTTACCATCCCCACATCAGCAGGGAAAGCATCAAAAGAGTCATATACCTCATAACCTGAACCCTGTCAAGACCGATACAAACTTTACCTCCAACTGTTCTTTTTGATTACATGCCCATTTCCCACTGGAGAGCAACATGCTCCCCGTACCAACCCTTATTCCTGCTGCAAGACCTATGTTATCAGGCTACCTTCTCCTCTGGCCTCAGTTGCCCTGTAAAGTATCCTGAAAGGGAACAGTGTCAACACACAGACACACCAGAAGCTGATGATGAAAATTAGATACAGGCTGTAAAAATCTATGGATAAGAAGTTTAAGTTATAATGAACCAAACATGAAAGCAACTCCTAAACTCATTTCTACCAGCTCTGTTTGCACGCAGTCCTTTTTAAGTACATCATATAAACGTAAATCTATCCCCTGTAACCTCCCAAAGTTGCCTCCACCTTGTCGTGGTGGTGGGGCTTGTGTGACTCTGCAACCTGGAGAGATATGCCAGCAGTAGTTTAAGGTAGGTAGGTAGGTGGGTGGTTGGGTGGGTGGGTAGGTCGGTAGGTAGGCAGGCAGGCAGGCAAGCAAGCAGGTATCCCCTGTAACAGGCTGTGGAGGCCCACAGGGTTGTCAGACATCAAGGCTGCCACACTTTCTTTTGTATATATATACATTAACTGTTAGTGTGAACATTAAACCATAAAAACTTAATAACATTTCAGTTGTTAGTTTTCAGTCATTATCAGCTGGCCACTTGACCCAACATTCTTGAATTAAAAAAAAATCTTTCATGTACTGTCATTCTCAACAAAAGCCATATGCTGCTCAGTACTGCTGTATCTCATGACAGTTCGACAGAAACACAGCTGACTGATCACAAGAACAGATGTGCAGTGTATGGCATGCTTATTATCAGGGTGGCTGTACAGAGGACAACTGTCTATGTCACTGAATCACTGTACAAAATGCTGTAACTGCTGACTGAACCCCTCTGCATTTCAGTGATAAACAGATCTGGATTTCCATATATATGGTGCTGTATAGTCTGACAGGTGGGTACCAATGTTTTGGAAACACATACTGCCTTTGCCTTCAGGACAGAAGATGGAAGAAACATGCTCCTCTCACACACCACTGGTACCCACCTATCAGATTACAGTGGCATAACCCAGCATATAATGCAAATCTTCATCACCATGAAATCCTCAAATCTCGTAATCCCAACTGTTTATGACTATATCTCCAAAAATTAGACACAAATTATGATTTATATTTCCATACATCTATGTTATATATGGGTGACAATATCACTCACTGTGGGTCCACATTGGCCGTGGCCTCATCCAGCACCAGGATCTTGTTGTTCCTGATGATGGCGCGGGCCAGACACAGGAGCTGGCGCTGACCCACACTGAAGTTAGAACCGCCCTCTGACACCCTGTGGCTCAGTCCAGCGGGCAGCTCATCTACAACCTGCTTCAGCTCCACCTCAGCTAACGCAGCCCACAATGCAGAATCTGAGTACTCGCTGAATGGGTCCAGGTTCTCTCTCAGTGAGCCAGAGAACAGCACAGGCTCCTGTGGGATGATGGAGATCTTGGAGCGCAGGTCATGGAGACCTACTGAGGCAATGTCTATACCATCAATTTGGATTTGACCACTCGAAATGCCTGCCAGACGAAACAGAGCTGCTATGAGAGAAGATTTGCCTGCTCCAGTGCGACCCACGATGCCCACCTATATTTCAAAAGGAACAAATGTATTTGGCATAATATATTGTGACATGTTGACCCCTACCTCCCCAGCTGCACGTAGCGGTAATGTAGCGCTCATGTAATAGGCGAGTAATCACCCCGCATCCTGGTAGCTATGCAACGCGCGGTGATGTCACGAGCGGAGCCGAAGTGAGCCGAGAGGAGCCGACATTAGCCTAGCACGCGATCTTCAAGCTATGCAAAGCGAATCAACAGCGGTGACGTCACCGAGGGATATAGCGGTTGCTAGGCAGCAGTCAACAACTCCGGACAGCGTGGCTAGCAACACGGCACCAGACGACAATTGTCCGATCAAGGCTACATAAGGAGCAGCGAAGGCTATTCACAGCCAGTCAGTCAGTCCTGGAGTGGCATTTGGAGTGTACTAATTGTGATACTGCAGATAGCAGTAATCGTAAATCTGTAATTTGGGTGATTGTAAGTGCAAATGTGAAATAAAATTCGCTACATCAAATACATCGTGAAGCTATTTGTCGCGTTATACGCTCAAGACACGTGACAATATATTAGCCATTAAATATATATTTGGAATAACAAAATAAAATAGAACACACTGTAATTGTGGAGAAGAAAATCCACCATCCAGTGTCAGCTTAACACTTCGCAGACCGGCGATTTAAATATTTAAATCATCCTGGGGGCCAGCATTTTTAAACATATTACCCTAACTTGTGCACTGTTCACTTTAAAAATTAATATAAAATATCCTAATTAATTTTTTGAGAACACTTGCCAATGCTCCTAGAAGTGTTTGAGGGCGTGATATTTCTGGAAACATTCCCCTTTGTGAAGTGGCATTACACAGAACTTGCAAATGTAGACATACTCCTTTTTTTGTGAACTGTGCAAACACGGCATTGCCTAGAAGGATTCTTCCCCTTGGAATGTTTATTCTTCACAATTTTCACGAGGGTATTTTTCTGCATATCACTCGAGAGTCGCCCTGGAGGTCCACATGAGACGTTCGTGGGGTGGGAGTTGATGGGCCCGGTCATACTAAGTCTTTGTGTGACCCTGGTTCTGCCGCCACCATCTGGACTGTAGCCCAGGCCTATGCCACATTCATCAGAAATGCTTTGTGTTTCAATTTTGAATCAGGGTTTAGATTTCTTTTTAGATTTTTTGCTGTCCCCACAATGTAACTATGCACAATGTTATTACCCACATTATTGTTGGAGCTACTGTCACTTTTACTGGCTGTGGCCACAATTCCTTGTTGTCCCCCCATCACTGTCACTGTCTGAATGACAATCCATTACTACGCGTCTCACAAGGCAGGCCAGCTAGGTCATCAGAGGAGAATTTGTCCTTGAGCCATTCTCCCCACTAGCCATTGGCTGATACACACAGCTTGAAGAAGGCAAAGCATTTTCCTTTATAGTTGGTTAAGTAAACAGTGAGGTCAAGTTACTGACTGCTAACTAAACATTCCAGAGTCTTATCATGCATCTGCAGGTGGTCGCATGCAATGTAGGTGGCTCCAGAGCGATGTATAGTGTGTTGCAACTTATTGTGTTCTAAAAACATATTAATATGCGACTGGTCCGCCACGTTTAAAAGCGAAAAATGTATTAATGCATGCGCGGTCCACAAAGTGTTAAGTGGTTATAAATCACAGAGAAAAACTGAAATGTGTTATATCACTTTTTGTGGTTTTCCTCAGTCCATCCAGGCAAATGATAGGATAGTACCTCATACTCGTATTAGGCTATGACCACTTCTTTCTATATCCTTTCAAATTCTTCTTCCATTAATCATCCTACATTAGACACTGTATTAGTCTTGAGACACAGCACCATAAAATTAACAGTACAGTCTGGTACTGTTTTCTGGTGAATGTTTTTACAATACAGTAGACTTTATGGGCACACTCCAAAAATTCATACCTGTTACTATAATATTATGGATAGTCAACATATGGCTGTGACAGTGGCTTTTAGGCATGGGATTTAACACTGACCAGTGTCAGTGGAAGATTGCCGAAAAACTTAAAATGTTTCACTGACCCTCTAACATATCTAAGTACTGTACCATTTCCTATAAAAAGGAAAGTACTTTGTATAAGTAGGTGCTTATAGAACTGTTCATAACTTCAGCAATTTTGTCTTACTTGTTCTGCACAAACAGTTCTGGCCAAAATGGAAACAGTACAGTAAACTCTGACAGGAGAGACAGGGGGTCTGTTATCACTGATGTCCACTATATTTGAGGGAAGGGATATTCACAGAAGTAAACTAATGGTTACATAGCCAATACATACAATGAACACACAAACATACACTCTGATTACATAATGGTTTTTATATTCGGGTTATTTTCTTTAAATATCTAACTATGAAACTTTCATTGTGCCCCAACATCTCTAAAAACCCACAATTGTACATAGCCAGATTTTGTCTCTTACATCCAAAATCTGGGTATATTATAAGGAGGGTTTACTGTAATTCCTCTTATAATTACCTTTTCTGATGACATCACAGTGAAACTGACACATTTCAAGACTGGTGGACCATCTTTGGAATAAGCGAGGACAACTTCATCAAATACAATGTTACCGGAATTTGGCCAGTTTCTGTGTGGTTTCTTATCTGTAATACAAAAGCCAAATGCATTTTTCTACATACAAATTTCCTCTACCAGCTGAGAAGCTGAATGATAGTTAGGACTTTCAAGGGACCCAACTGTGGAACACAAACCTCAAAAAACTGAAAAAAAGAGAAACATGACAAAAGAAATTACCTACATATTTTGTAAAGTAAATTCTTAACAGAAATAAGCTGTAGGAATTACCATCAGGTACTGCCTTTTCCTTTAACATGACAGTACCTCAACTTAGTCCACATACCACTTCCTTCTACATCCTTTTCACTTATTCACTATCATCCTACCATTTCACAATACACAGTGTAAGATACTGACAGTGATGACAAATAATTAATCAATTAATTCATTCATTTCTATGTTACAAGAATGAATCCCTTGAAGATCATAACGCCATGGGTACACTTCAACCTCTGCAACCCTCCAGGGTCTCCAGAACTTTTCTTTCACAAATAAGAGAAAATTTTATCACCTAATGGTCATGTTCTCCTGCACCATACAAACAAAAATTGTTGGATTAACTCTGAAGATGTTGGAACTGAGGTTCTCACAGCAGAGACTATGAAGAGCAAAGTCTTCTGGTCTGCAATGCTGTGTAGTTCAGACATTTTGGAGAAATGAGAGGAATTAAAAGTTTGATTCTCTGCAGGGGCAGGAGATTTCTTCCCCTCACCCACAGGACCTAAACTGGTTCTAGCCTCCTATACAATCAGTACCAGGAGATGTTTCCTGGTGACAAAACAACTGGGGCATGAAGCCAGCCACTCACCTCCATTAATAACAGTCTTCATGGCACAATGCTTGACTGACTAGGTATTTTACACTTAAGTTTCTTGGGGTGGGGTGAGACTGAGTCCATTTGGTACTTCAGCCACCAACTGGCCTTACAGTACCAGCTCTGGATGGTAGATGATGACAAGTGTGGAGCAGTCAGTGAAATGAGAACTGGCAGAGGAAACTGAAGTACTTGGAGAAAATTGCCCCAGTACCATTTTGTCCACCACAAATCCCATATGACTGACCTGGGCTTAAACCCAGGCCACCGTGGTGGGAAGCCGGTGGCTAACTGCCTGAGCTATGACATGGCCATACTCTTATCTTACAGAATGGAACATGGAGAAATATGTAGTTTTCAGGTTTCAAAAAGCAAAGCTAATCTTGTTACCATGTATATGAATTTCACCCCTCATAAGAAATGAATTTTGAAGGCATGCAAGACAGATGGACCAACCAAAAGGAAAGTTTCCTTGCTAATTCGTATGTTCTGCGAGAGTACTGCAGTGGTTTATTTCATATGTTGTGTATTTGTCACTCTCTGTGGCTTAGAATACATAACTTCAAACTGTAGGTTCGGTTAGTGAATAATGAATTGGAGAGGATGTACAGGAAAATTACATAATTTAGGTACAAATGTCTCAATTTCCTGGAAGGACCAAAGAAAACCAGGGAACCTCAGTCATGATACTCCATTCCCAGACAGTGTAGCTGCATGCTGTATCATTTTCTGTGACACACCTGTTCACATTCTGACCCACTGTAGGAGGCTTTCCATGCTGCTCCATCATGACAGTGTGCAAGACAATATATCACTCAGTGTCACAATGTCTGTGCAATGTTACTGAGCAAACTGGCTAAGCGGTAACACTCACTTTCATTCTGGAGGTGCTCAAACCTCAGTTGGGACACTGATTACCCAGTATGAGGTTTTTCTAGATTTTCCTTACCCTTTCCAGACAAATTCCAGCATAGTACCTCAATTAGGCCATCCTTCCCAACACATTTACTATCATCCAAACATCCTACTGCATACAGTCTAAGTTACCAACAGCACTATTAAATCAATCACAAACAAAGTAATAAAATAATTGAATCTGTCAGAAACTCTGCTGCTGAAAGACATGTCTTCCTTGAACATCATAACAGCTTCAGTCAGGGCCAAATTTTCTGTTGGGTTGTACACTTCCCCATTAAGGAAATCCACGACTCAAATTTCAACCATGAGACTGGCTATCCTAGCTAAAGTTCTACACTGTTTTCCTCAGCCCCATACAGAAAAAAAAAACATACAGTAGTCCACAACCACTTCCTTCTATTGGATCATTCCTATGAACATACTTACCAGAAGGAGACTCGAGTGGAGGCTCACTCTCAAGACTGGTATACTCTAGCACACGCTCCAAGGAAGTCATATTGTTCTCCAGCTCTGCTGACTGTCGCATCCCCCACTGAATCATTCCTATCAGTCCTATGGACTGGGTGATAGCCAGTCCTACATCCCCACCATGTGGTCCTGCAAGTATTTATACACATTATGAGTACACTATACAGAAGGTAGTACTTCCTTTTAAGTCATACTGGTAGTTGTCCACTCTAACTGTTCCTGACCGCCATCCTTAGTATTACTGTGTTGGCATTCCGCGGTCAGGAGACCATGTGTCCTGTTACCATGTAGTGAAATTACTTCTTTAAATGGAGCCAACAGCGATGACATTGCTATACACAAACTTGTTTTGCTCCTCTGCTGACAGTAACAGGTTCATTCTTATCCTGAAGGGTTCAAGTCCAGAAATGTTCTATTCTGTTCAGACTTTGGTCCAGAATGTGACTGGGATCTGTCTCTCTATGTATATAACTATTTATCTACTACTACATGAATGAAAATTATTCAGCTGGTGAGAGTGAAAGTGCTGAGAATAGCCAGTACTAGAGTCTGGCTGTCAGGAACAGAGGCAAGTTCTGTATCAGTGGCAAAACACTCATGACTAAAACAGCGCACCACACTATACCATTTATTTTTCCAAAGGTGCAAACTTTCTGCAATGAAAAATTTTCACATATCTCTGTATTACAAATATAATGAATTTCCAGCATGGGCAGAAAGAGGGAGAGATAGACTTTGTTGACAAGCTGACTCATGCTAGCACTGTCAACTGCTGCAATTCAAATAGAACCAGCATGTTGTAGCTACTATGTAAAGACGAAGCACTTACATGAAAATTTTAGAAGTCTGAGACTGAAAAATAAAAGTTAAAATCAAGATCAAAGTAATTTTTTGTTGATCTGATCCCAAAAATTCAAGACCCACACATGCCTATTTTATTTTTTCTCCCCTTCAAGGCATTTCAGAATTCCCATCTAGCATTTCTCACTTCCTTTGACACCTTGAGAATCACTGATGCTGCAAAAAGATTACAGTTCCTAAGGCATAGTCAAGAATTTGTCCCCCCTTTACAAATCATACAATGTAGGCAAGAAGTAATGCTCTGACCTGTGTTCAGGGAGGTGGCATCTGGTCCAAACATTGACTAAAAAACTGACATCATTCACCATGATGTAAAATAATAATTCTGGTTTCTATTCATAAGGGACATGCAATCCTTATCCTTGTCTTTGAATATGTAAGAACAGACCATAACGACCCGTCTTCTGTGCGGACTGAAGACATTCACTGAAGAATCTGAGTAATGAGAGCCAATCTCCGCCTCGCATTCAAATCATGCACCTCCCAAATGCGGGGAGGGAATTTTAATCATTGAATTGAGAAACAAATCTTGACCTCAATGAGAACAATTTTGCAGTCAGCAACTTCAGGAAATTTCGAACAACTGATTTTGCTCCACAAAGTAGCAAGCCCTGATCCATCAGAATCATGACAGGTTGATAAAATCATCTCTTACCATCTTCCTGCTCATGGTGACAATACAGTATGACCCGAGAATGGGACCTTTCCAAAAAACATGATTTATGAAAATTTTTCATTGAAAAAAATCTGATATCAAAAGGGATAAGTAACAAGCTTTAATGCACTGTAAAACAGTGACTAGTGTTACAGATTGTGATTACTGTGAAGAAATTTGTCTAATAAAGAAGATTCTTGTGGCTGTCTCAATTCTACACAATTGTCCATATTCCCCTTCCCATTCATCTTGAACTGAAAAAAGGTCCTTCCTGCACATGCCTACAAAATGCAACAGCTTCTCAATGACCACTTATTACATATCATGATGAAAGGAAATGCTGAGCACAGTCACAAAACTGATTAAACTAGCAAACAAGATCCAAGCATATCTATAACTGCCATTAACAAACAGTTCATAATCTGTCATCAATGTAATCATCAGCAGGGTTCAGAAAGAGTTGAATACTTCCTGCCACGTCCTGTTGTCATGCTATTACCTCTATCGAGGAACAGGAAGCTGAAGGTGACAAGACCAATATACATGAGACAGGCAAAGTCCAGCCACAGGGCAAAAGCCCGACTTGATGCAATGAACATGAACCAGGCAGATGAATGCAAGTCCTGAAATGACATAACATACATCAGTGAGCATATGACAGAGGGGCAGGAAGAAACTTCCCTCACCCCAGAGGCAGTGACAGATAAAGCACTGCTGGAATCAAGACTGGCAGGTGAAGTCACTACATTGACGGAAACATGCATCTAACTGCAGAGTGGAATACTTTGATTTAATGCATGGTTACTGCTTGAATGAACGTATACAGTGAACTCCATATTTCAGGTTTCTTTTGGGTGCAGTAGATTTGAATTTCAAGGTGTGGATGTAATTAAAACAAAATAGGTCACAGTATAAATCTACATACATTTGGTTTCAATTCATCTTCCAAGTAGTATAGCATTAATACTGCAAACTGCAGTTCAAAAGATCAGAAATGTATTAATTCCGAAGTGGGGAGATGGGAGCATGCAACAGCATAGTTGGTTGAGGCACTATGCTACAAGCCAGAAAGTTGCAGGTTCGATTCCCAGTATCGCTGACTTTTCAATTGATGCAATTCTTCCAGACACTTTATGGCCCTGGGGTTGACTCAGCCTCTTACAGAAATGAGTACCAGGAATATTCCTGGGGTAAAGGGCAGCTGGTGGGTGGGGATGACAACCTCACTGCCATCTGTGAGCCGACAGTCTAGAAGATGTGGGAGCCTTGTCTCATACCCCTATGGGCCTCCATAACCTGTTACAGGGATAGCTTTACCTTTTCTTTTTTCATTAATTCTAAACCAAAATAATAGGTAAATCATAACAGAAGTAATATGATCTTATGTATACATTACTGTATGAATCCAAAATCCATAACTACCAGTCCTTACTATTACCCCCAGGCACATTAAACAAAACTGATATTCCCTAGTGAGAATTATAAATTATCACAGTTGCTGGTACAAGCCCGAATCAACGTTATAAGATGCAATACTCATTGCTCTTCAGCAGAAGCTATGTTGTGCCATATGTCTGGTAGTCGAACTGTTTCTGACCACTGCTGGATTTGAAGTTCTGACAACAGTGACTGTGAAATGAAGAGTATAATCTTCTGGGTTTAACACCATGTTGTCTAGAGACAGCCTGATGTTTAGGCAGAACATATCGTCTCCATCTTCAGGGTCACAAAGTAAGTCCAACAAGAAACCAGCAGAACTAGGCAACAAGCTAGGTTTTGCTTCTGCTCCTTTCACACTTGGCTTACTCTTAGATCCTGAAGATGGAGGCAAAATGTTCTCTGAAATGTTGGGTTCTCTCCGAACTACGAGGTGTTAGAATCCTGAAGACCATAGTCTTCATGTTTCTAACTGACTACAGTTAGTTTTTTTTCGGTGTTATTAAATAATAACATACAACATAAATATGAGCCTCCAAACACCATATCAGCCATTGTGTATATATGTCCATATAAATATTACATACATTATGATTACAACTGCCGACTTCCAAATACCATGACATATACAGCTTTTACCTGTACTTTTGACTATGTAACTGGTTATTTTAAGACTTCAACTTTTATTGTGATTTATATTTTATACTCACTCATATCATTTTATACCACTGTATACACTTGGAAGTTTGGTACTGTATCCTATATTTGATATGCAATTCAATAATGAAAGTTTAATGAATCAATACGAAGACACACACACATCCAACATTATAACGCTCGCAGCCAAAAAGGAAGGACACATCACAAGACACAGTATACACAAAATATAGGAAAAACGACTCCCATAGTGGAGGAACCATACAATACGCGAGTTTGAATTAAGATGTATAAGATGAATAATCTTAACAAGTTTTAGTGTATACAAATTTTATTATAGTTGATGAAGAATGTACATTTTAATAATTTTATGAAAGACACATGATGGCAAGCAATGCAATAGCTTAGCATAAATAACGCACCTGAGGATGGCACAATGTTGCCAAAACATGTAGTGAAGTGACATGTGAAACTTAGTGCACTACAAGACGGCTATTACATACATATCATGGATGAGAACCAAATAATGTCACTTTTACCACACGTTAGTTACATACCTACCTTACCTCAGAGCAAATGGACTCTCCCTTCCCACATCATGCGTGTGTGCAGTGATGAGAAGAACAGAGCCTCATGTTAGCTGGTGGTTTAATGTAGTGTTGTCATGATGTTTTCGAAACAGGAACAATGGAGTTGGATAAAGACTGAATGTGCCAGAGGCCGTACAGCACGACAGTGTCATCAAGGTCTTTCAGAGGCTTGCAGGGAATCTGCATTGCCTTACAGAACAGTGGCAAGGTAGGTAAAAGCCTTCAATGAGGGACACCAAAATGTGGCAGACATGCGTCGGCCAGGTCGTCCTAGTGTCAGTGAAGAAGAAGTGTATGCTCTTTCCGCCTTACTGGAGAGTGACTGACACCATACGATTTGTGAGCTGGTCCAAGAGACAGGATCAGCACATACGACTGTGCTTCACATTTTGAAAGAACGCCTGGGCATGAGAAAAAATGCATCACGATGGGTTCTGCATGATGGAAATGCAGAAATGGCTATGATACGACGCTGCTCGTAACCACTTGGAGCGCTATGAGCGCGAAGGAGAGGCTTTCTTATGCCGTATCATTACGCTGGATGAGACATGGGCCAAATCATACAAGCCACAAATGAAACGCCAATTGAATGAATGGCGTCATTACGGGTCACCACGAAAATCAAAAGTTCGTTAGAACCCCAGCAATATTGAAAGTTATGGCAATTCTCATGTACAACTGTGAAGGTGTTATCCTAATGCATACCATTCCACGACAGCAGACCGTCAATGCGCAGTATTACTGTTCACTTTTGGAACACAACCTGCAACCAGCTTTGAGAAAGAAGCAGCGACACTTTCTGCAGAACCCACCAATCATTTTGCAGGACAATGCTCGGCTGCATGCAGTGCAAGCTGTGGCTGATTTGTTCGATCGATGGGGCTGGGAAGTGCTGTACCATCCACCATACTCCCCAGACTTAAGCCCGTGTGACTTTGACTTGACTCCTAATGAAGGAATCACTTCGTGGCATTCGCTTCAGAACTGTTCTAGAGATTCTTCAGGCAGTAGACCACTGCTCCATTCGAACTATCAACACAACAGGCGTTGCTAAAGGTATCCTATGACTTCCACATCACTGGCAACGGATTGTACACAATGCTGGTGACTACATTGTAGGACAGTAAAACTTCGAAACATGCATCTATTTTGTATTAGTTGTAAATAAATAGTTTCCACTATTAAAGTTCCAACCCTCATATGTCTGTTCTGAATTTCAGTGTGATGAACAGTTCATCTGTTTGTACCTTTGGAATGTGTTGACAGCAGTAGTACGTTTCAATTTCCCACTGGCATACAATACCATAGTATTGTGAATCTAATGACAACGTAAAGACATACACCATCACACCTTCCACGTTATTTTAGACCAAGATCACCGCTATGCTGAAATAAACCCTATGGGGCTTTGTTTTGCTGCTTCACTCAAAACCTTACCTGATGACTATCAAATTCTTTTTCAAGCAAGGCTTCATTGCCAAAAGCACGTATGGTAGTTAGACCCTGCAGAGATGCACTGAGATGTGAGAAGACAGGACTCCGAGCTGAAAAAGGAAACAACTGCTTGCAGTCCATCTGCCACTGTAGGAATGCCATTAACCTTTAACATACGGACTTTTAAATTGCCGGGAGCCCTCTGTGGCCAGTATTTCAATTGCCTTAATTAATTAACATTGCAAACTTTCAGAAAAATATCCATATTTTCCGTTCTATGCAACCTAGAAATACAAACTAAAAACAACCTGAAAGACAATAACATTTTCTACATATACACAAAAGGGCAATTTTTACAAACGAAAATTAACTGTGATTATTTTGTCATGAAATGCAAAATATAATCTTTATTATATATGTTATGAAATTTTACCCGTTGCTATTTCTTCAACCTTGAATCATGGTGATATTGTAAATATAATCACACTGTATACAATAATATTTTGCTGAGACTGTACACGAGCTTGAACTGCGTCACTTCACAGTTTACGATATGTTTCACATCCAGTCGACTCACAAGGGAATGGTCTGATCTGACATGTCAAAACCTGCCCTGATTTTTTTTTTCAATTCAAGAGTACACACAATAAAATCCACTGTCAAAATTTTAGCTGCTAATACGCACTGCAAGTATTTTTAAAAAACTGCCGAATTTACTCATTTTTTCTGTATGCTGAACTGCTTGTACCAGAGGTTTGTACAACCCCAGCCTAGGCTGAGTCAGCCATGTTGCATGTTGCGTACTGCTCTGCTAGGGGTGCACATTTCTCCAAGGG